TCATACAGAACTTTTAAGGGCATGGAGAAACAAAAATATGAACAGAGACACCGACCGTGTGGTCACTTTTCATGTCAACACGAACATGAATGATTTATTTGTTCCTGCACTGACAGCACAGCAGAGGGGGGCAGAGGCCGCTAAAAACACCGCGACCATTGTGTCTAAACCATAGACTGTATATATAAATGGACGTAGGGTCCGTGACGTCACCCATAGGATTCTGCAGAGTTGCCGTGAAGCCCTTAGTAGGCGGAGTCGGCCACTAACGGCTCGACGGTGTCGTCAGAGTCTAACTCCCGCCTTCTCCCGCCTTCTCCAAATAAGGGCAAAGAGGCGGAGCCGAGGCGGGACCATAGACTGTATATATAAATGGACGTAGGGTCCGTGACGTCACCCATAGGATTCTGCAGAGTTGCCGTGAAGCCCTTAGTAGGCGGAGTCGGCCACTAACGGCTCGACGGTGTCGTCAGAGTCTAACTCCCGCCTTCTCCCGCCTTCTCCCGCCTTCTCCAAATAAGGGCAAAGAGGCGGAGCTGAGGCGGGACCTGCTGCCAACGAGCGTGACGTTCGAGTCCTAGCTCAGGCTAAGAAGCTAAGCTAACATGCTCTCAGTATCAATCGAATGTAAAACATGATTGATGAAAGTAGTAAATCGGTCAGATTTGACCCGAAGACAACAGGAGGGTTAATGCCATATTCACTTAGTAACGCATGAACAACTTTTACAAATATTTCTATATAGTCTGTGTTGGTAAATGTCATCTAGGTTGCACATTTCCTGCTGAAATACATGCATACCAAGTCACTGCGTGGCACTTGGTTTTGATAAAACAGTGTAGTTCCACTATATAAACGTTACATTCATAATCAAACGAGACAATCTGCAAGATAATTAGCTATTTGGTATTATTCTTAATGCTTGTCATTCACACGTTAATAAAATAAAATAAGTACCGATACATAGCAGAATAATTGTGGCGGTGTTCAGCTTAATAAGCCTTGCTCAACATCATTTATTTAGCTAATACTACAGCGGGCTGCAGGCGAACCAAGTCCGCGTTACGATGCATTCCTTGATCTCCAGTTATAACGCCGGACTCCGCCGCTGGCCGAAGCTAACGGAGCCCCAGGGTGCTAGCTACGGCCGCCGGGACGCGCTAGCGAGCTAGCACCCTGCAGCCCCGTTAGCTTCGGCGGCGTGGACTCCGGCGGCCCACCCCTTTTAACATTTGCTCCCGTTTAGCATTATGGGCGTCATAGCCATATAGTATAAAAGTCTTACCCAAGGCTGAATCATAAACTAAACTGTATATATGTATAAAGGGTTACGTCCTTAGCTGGCTAATAAGCTACATAACAGGCTAAGCTAACAAGCACACAAACACCTGCTAACGGGGTTAACATGTATAATATTATCATTTTACTCACCGAAAAAAGCTGAAAGTAGACTTCTTGGAAGATCTGTTAGTACATTCAAGCGCACAGCACGACATTTTAATTATCTGGTATTTGTAACAATATTCCCTAACAGGCACGATCACCACAAACACAGCTAAAGGATCAAGTACAGTAACTACAACTAACTAACGTTGTAGCCTCTATGGTTGTAGCCTAGCAGATTGGACAAGTTGCTGTTAGCTGACAGTGAGGCACGTATCTGTCAATCAAAGTGACCACGCCCTAATGTATGCACAAACTTTAAGACCTAATATAAATATAAAGGGTCGCGTTAGAAAACAATTCACTCACAGATCCATAATCATGAAGGTGGAATCTAACTATATCGATAATAAAATGTATGGAGCCAGGGGTAGAAACATGTTTTTTTCTGCTGTAAAATGGGCATTTTAACATGGGGGTCTATGGAAATTGCTCCTTTCTGCAGCCATCGCCTATCGGCCAATATATGAACTGCAGTGTGTGGCACTTCCGTATTGGCTTCCCGGCTCTACCCCACAGTTTGCCGCTTGGTCTAAACAGGCAAATATGAACCATGCCATCGTTTTAAATGAGACAATTACAATCAAAAATATGAACAAAACATTTACAAGAACAACTCAATTTACCTGCTGTAGCCTGAACGCTGATTTCTGCATCGTCGTGCACCCTCGGACAAATCCGTTACTCATCTTAGCTTTTCTACAGATGTCGCAGAACATTTTGCCATCTTCCCTCCTCAGCCACTTAAACTCTTGCTCCCACTGAACCGGTACTCCCGCTTGAACTCCTTGCCACTTGCTTGCCCCTCTGCCGCTGGCTGAACGTTGTCAGTTTTAGTCTTACTGGCTTGTCCTTCATCCTCCACCGCATCAATCCCTCTTTTCACCTCGTGTATCCACACCATCACAATTACTGGGTTTATTAAAAAAGCTTCGGACGATCAGCTGCCGTGACATTTTGCGATTGCTAAAGCCGGTTAAACAACGAGGTCAAAAACAAGACTAGACAATAGCTACTTAATATACACACACTCGCCACCAACTGGACAGGGGTGTGAATGACTAAATAATAGTTACAGACTACAGTAGAGTACAGTAGATCGCCCTCAGTCTACCTGGCCACTAAGGATGTAATATAATGTGGGCCGCTGGTGGACATTTTGGCGATGTTCCAAATTGTGTTCTAATCTGTCAAAATGACGGACTGCTTTCAGATTTTTCCGTCATTGTTAGAAAAAATCCGTCATTGACGGAAAATATTCGGTTAACGCGACCTCTGGTCAGGACACACGGCGAGAGAGCTCTGCGCTGTGTGGCAAACTTGGGAAACTAGAGACTGCTCTGCTGACAATATTTTGGGACACTGTACTGCACCAATTCAAGCTTACGAGCACTGGCTTGCAAAAGAAAGACATTGACCTAATGACCGCTGTGCGACTTTTGGAATCGCTGCGCACTTATGTTGCATCACTACGAGGGACATTTTCGGACTTTGAGACATCTGCCCGGGCCGTCATGGCGTGACACAGACATACCAGCACGAGACTCACCGTGTTGGTAAAAGACGAGTATTTGATGACGAGACAGTGGAGCACGAGGTGGCACTGACTGGCAGTAAAAAAATCCAGGTTGAGACATTCAATGTAATTATTGACAGGTTGCTCTCAGGACTTAGCAAACGCCTGGATGCATACAAAGACATACATGATGACTTTGGAGTCCTATTTGACATGTGCTGTGATGACACTGATCTCCGCAGACGTGCCAATATTCTCTCCTCATCATATCCTACTGACTTGGATAAGTCATTAGGAGATGAGCTGATCCAGTTTAGGGCTTTTGTCAGCACAGAGCCAGATAAAACTCCTGCAAACAGACTGCAGGTGGTGCTTAAACATGGACTACAGACAACATTCCCCAATGTTTTTGTTGCGCTCAGGATTTTTCTCACACTGCCTGTAACCAACTGCGAGGGTGAGAGGTCCTTTTCACAGCTTAAACGCATCAAAAATGAACTTAGGACAACCATGGCTCAGAAGAGACTTTCAGCCCTTTCTTTGATGGCCATCGAGTCTGATCTTGTGAGGGATCTGGATTTTGATGACCTAATCACAGACTTTTCAAAGAGAAAGGCAAGGAAGAAACACTTCTAAAAGGTAAGATCCACTGTCTCTCATACACTCCTTCATTCACTCTCTCTCTCACACACACACACACACACACACACACACACACACACAGACACACACACACACACACACACACACACACACACACACACACACCATGTATACATCACTTCAGGGGACATTACATTGACTTACATGCATTTCCTGGAGACGTATCCTAACCTTAACCATAACCAACACATGCCTAGCCCTAACCCTTACCCTTAACCTTACCCTTACCCTAACCCTAATTCTAAACCTAACCAAGTCTTCACCCTAAAATTAATGATTCCCCTCATGGGGACCTCCAATTAAGGGAAGCCAGTCCCCACACGTGACTATGTAAACAGATTTAGGTCCCCACAAGTATAGTAATGCTAGACCACACACACACACACAAACACACACACACACACACACACACACACACACACACACACACACACACACACACACACACACACTATATTCCATCACATATACTGATCACTTAGTTGAGCAACCACACCATTTCACTACATATTTTAATTTTGTAACTCTCAATGTTTGTGACTAATAAAACTCCTTGTGTACTTGTACAGCCAGCCAGTCATATTTTGGCATTAAGTGGGGTGCTGCTCTGAGGTTATGAGTGATATTACCTAGGTATTCCTGAGTCAGTCTTGGGATCTTATCCATTGTATCTTTGTCTTGTGATTTTTGACTAAAAGGGCAAAAGGCTAGACCTACTTTGGTTGAACTATGTGGCTGCGTCCCTGCTTTTGACAAATAGTTGTGCGATTTGACATGCCAGATTGACTGAAAATTCTAAATATTGGTCATGTTGGTAGGATAGGCGTGGTGTTACTTGTTGGTACATGGGTTGGGGGGGGGGGGGCATGAGCGCTCAGTGCCCAGGGGCCCCTGGAGGTACTAATCCGGCCTTGACTTGAGCCCCACCACTGTATGGGTTATCCCTACCATAGATTACCCAACAAAAATACTCTGGCGCCGCCACTGTCTGACTTTTAGAGATTTTCACCTTGTTTAATACTTTTCGCCTCATTCTGAAAGAAAGGAGTGAAATGTTTCAACGTGACGGGCGTCTTGGTGTGTGGTGCGAGACAGGATATGTAGTTCATTGAGCGGTTTCACACAAACAAATGTGTTACTTCACAGTTTTACGACACATTTTAATTTTTTTGACTTGCAAAATTATCTTTTTAAATGGACAAACATCATATGTGTAATTCGTGGCAAAATTCAAACGGGATCGAAAGATAATCTTTTTCTCTCCATTGACTTCAATACATACTTTTTCCGAAATAAGGTCCCATGGAGCTCCCCCGGAAAGGGAGGGACTTCGCCTCTCTATATAAATAAATCATTCATCAAAAAAAGATCCTTCCTCATCATCAGCTGCCACCTGATTGGGTGGTTCTCTGACAGAGCGTGACGTAGCAGCTGCCAGCGTGGAACGCACGTCGCTCTCCAATCAGGAAGTAAACTGTCCGGTCCGGGTCTGCATAATACAGACAGAAGTCCGAGCGGTGAATACGTGTCGAAGTCTCCATTTCAGCTCGCTTTCCCGAACACCTCCGAAGGGACACAGCTGTAGGCCCCTGCCGCTGAGTGTCCGTCCCTCTCGCCCCCCAGCAGAGGCTGCCGGGCTCCGCACTGAAGGTAAGGAGTCAGGTGCTAACTAGCCTCTGTGTCCGCCCTGTGCCGGGCTGAGCGCTCTCCGGTGCCCGCTGTCCTCTTGAGCTGTACCGGAAGCTTTTTGGAGGAAGCTGTATGAAACTATAGAGTAGACTATATTTATAAATGAATGCTGTAATATTCTCAGTGTAACATGGAGATGCTCTCTCACTGTGTCCCCTGCTGACCTGCTTCTGTCGGGAGGGAGGGGGGAGGTGCGCAAGCGCGCTTCCTCTGGTCCTGCTGTCAACATGCTCTTACATGTTACATTAAAATAAGAAATATACCTTATAACGTATGTTTTACTTACTGCTTGCATTTAACAGTGTCTAACAATATATATGTATATATCTCCTATATTTTAGGACTGGGCAATATGAAGAAAAACAAATATCAGTATACTTTTAAACTAACACTTTAATATTGATAATGTAACAGTATTTTAGGGTTGAAAAAGTGTCGTAAATAATGATGATATTCACTTGAGTATCACAAACTGCTAAAAATGTAAACACACATCAGAATATGTTATGTATTACAATATTTTAGTTTCTGTACCCACAGTCATTGTATTATTCTGGCAGCGTATGACAACAGACTTCTCTTTGAAGTGCCATCGCTCTCATCATAGAGTTATGCTTATTACTCCCTGATTTTAATTCTAGAACCTGTGTCACTGGTTTCCGAGCAGCTGTTGTCTAAAGTAAACAGTGATTGGCAAATGAAGTGTCCACACCCATATAATGCTCCACGGTACCCTTTCACTCAGGCCTGACATTACAGCCATCAAGTGTGAAGACTCCATCAGTTTGTGTCAGGCTGGAAAAGAGTAGTTGAGTTTTGTATTTGGGAATTTTATTATAAATATAATTGTATTCCCAACCAAAAGATGCTCCTTCTACCGAGTTAAATTGGATAATTTAGAACTGTAAACTGAAAATAAGACTGATGCTTAGACCTGCAATGCTAACACTGTGGTTTATGGTCCCCCCCCCCCTTCTCCTGCTACCTGACAAAGTGTGTCTTTATTCTTCAGTAACTGTTCCCATTTATCCAGTTACAGGCTGTCAACACCAGATGGCGCTTCCTTCACAAAATCACCTAACCAATGTGTGATATGATTCTTTGGCCAACCGAATACTAAATTAATAAATAATAATAATGCATTTTATTTATAGAGCCCTTTACAAAGGTGCTCAAAGATAGATATTAAAATTCATCAATAAAGTATAAAAACAACACTTTAAATAATAAAATACGTAACATTATTTACACATGAAAAGCTAGGGTAGGTATCCCCACTAAGTTGGTGTCACAACTTGGGCTTTTTGACAGTTGCTCCCTTTCAAAATACAATAAAATTAAAGAGAAATACAATAAAAAAAAATGTTTAGATGGAATCAAATTTAAAATGTCCAACTAAATCTAAAATAGAGTAAACTTATTGATATAAAGCTTAGAATCTAAAGTAAAAATGTGCACATTGTACTACAATATACTGTGCAGTGTTCCCCACAGAATTTGATTCTATTTGTGGGGGCACCGCACCCCCTGGCATGAAAAGCCAAAGGCCCCTTAACCCATTCGGGTGGCCCACGCATCCACCCCCCCTCAAATAAGAAAATACATGCGAGTTCATGGCTACTATAGACAACATTCTTGTTGCTCTGTGTTGCGTTGTTAATGAGTGAAACACACCGGAGTTGAGGATCTGTGGGGTTTATTCTCCCAATAATATAATTTCCAATTTAGGCATTTAGCAGACGCCTTATTCCAAAGCGACTTACAATGACCAATTACAGGGACATTCTCCCTGAAGTAACTGAGGGCTGAGTGCCTTACTCAAGGGAACACTAGTAGTGGTGTTCCACACTCTAAGAAAAAATACGCCAGCTCTACTTAAATAAATTGAGGTAACAATTTGTGTTGATCTTTTTAAGTATTTCCAACTTAATCGATTATTAAGTTCATCCGAGTACCCATTTATAATCTGATTAACTCAATTTAGTTCAGTCCTACAAACATAATTTGCTTTCACCTTTTAAAAACTAAATTAAGTTGAACCAACTTAATTTTAATCGTAAAGATGGAGTGATATTAAGTTGCATTTTGTTTAATTTAAGCTATTGTAATTTATTTATTTAAGTCCATACTACTCAAAAATGTCCATGCAAATTGTTACCTTCATTAGTTTGAGTATTAGAAACTCATTTATTTGAGTCAAAAATAACATACACATTTAAGTTCCACTTGTTAACAGTTTATTTTAAAATGTTCGTTACACAAGGACCTTTTTATAACAAATGTTCTCAAATATGAAATAAAAGTAAATACAAAAATGAAAATAAAGGCAGGAACCTGCTTCCAACGTTTTTAACATCTCTTTTAGGTAGTTCCGGTTGAGTGTGTATATTAGCCCCATTAGCATGGCACAGGCTCTGGTCGCATCCGAGATTTGAAGGACTTCTGTTCCTTCAAGCACTATTGCATCCGCAGCAAGACAATCTTCAGCACCTCATTGCTAACTTCCACTTCACCATCCTGGAATAAGTAGATTAGAAAATATAGGGCTGTCAAACGATTACAATTTGTAATCACAGCTTAAAAATTAATTAATCATGATTAATCACCATTCGAACTATGTCCAAAATATGCCATTTCTTAAGTATATTGTTGTGGGAATGGAAAGATAAATGAAAGAAGGCGGATATATCCATTTAACATACGTTTATTATAACATTGTTCTGTGTGTCAAAATGAAAGACAGCTCACACACCTATCAATCATCAAACCGTGGGGTCTTAATTCATTACGTGTTGATTTCTATCAACACGTAATGTTGTATCGACGTATAGAGATGTACTACAGCAAAAGTATTCTCCGTCGGGACTTCCTGCAACAACACCATGCCGTTATCTTGATTCTGATTGGCCAGAAGACATTATCAAAGATGTTCTATTGAGAAGACGATCACTACGTGACAAAAGTTTTCAAAACCGTTTCTGGTCTTCGGTATTTCCAGACAAGTGGCTACTGAAATCAATCTTACTAACTGCTGTCTGTGCAATTTACTCCGCGAGTTGGCGGACTTTATTTTGCTTACTTTAACATCATTTTTCATGGTGGGGCTAAGCCATTTCTTGGTATGGGTGTAGCCTACCCCAGCCATACCCTGGTGCTGCCACTGGTGGGATGTATGGGGCGGGCCATTCTGCACATGCGTTAATTGCGTTAAATATTTTAACGCAATTAATTCAAAAAATTAATTACCGCCGTTAACGCGATAATTTTGACAGCATTAGAAAATACATTTCAGTGTTTTTGGTGCAATCAGATTTGAAAACATTGCATTGTATTTCAGGTTAACACAAGTTAGAGTATGATTTAAGCATCTTCTTTACTTACTTAAGTTTTCCTTGAAGAGATCCTCCTTTTCACGAAGACGCACCGGATAGCAACCGCTTTTATTCTTTCCACCGAATCATCCTTAAAAGGAGAACATTTGAATGTTGAGAAAGAAAAACAAAGGCTTGTTTGAAAAAACTGAACATGCTGGGCATTGTCAGTTGCTGTTCATATTTATTTTAAATGAGTTTTTATCAAATGTAACGTTAATTCTAACAAGAAAAAATATATATATACATACTGTATTACAAATAATGAACTTTGACTGCAAAAGTGAAACAAAGGATACAGGAGGATACAAACACATATGCAGTAAGCAGCTGAACAAAAATGGCTATTTACCAGTTAACTTGATAGATTATTAGGTTCAAATCCTGTTGTTCCCCTATGGTTGTTCCACTGCTATCAAGTGTTCTGCTTCCAGGATGAATGCAGATTGCTCCAACTCAACATGCGGTCTAGGACTCAGTTTTGAAACTATACCGTTGAAACTCAATAGCTATGAGTTACTCTAACTTAATATATCCCTATAGTTGAGTGAACGCAGAAATATTTTTTCAAAATCATTATATTTGTAAGTAACATTTGTTTTGTCCTTTTTCAGTTTGACCGATTTATTAAAATGAGTTGTAAACTAACTAAAATAAGTTGAGGTAAAAAACAAAATGTTCTGTTGAAAAAGTATTTTTTTAAAAAGTGGAATCTACTAACTCCATGAATCATTTTTTAGATTGCAGGTGGGATTTGAACTCGCAACCTTCCGATCATCAGCCCACCTCACTATCCATTAGACCACCAAAATAAATAAATATAAAACATTTTTTTATGAGATCCATTTGTGGCGGCCGAGATTTATTTGTGGCGGCCAGCCACAAATAAATCAATGTATGGGAAATACTGTTGTGTACAGTACTGTATTAGTAGTATATGTGAATATTACGGTGGCCGGCAGGTGCAAACGCGGAACAACGGCCAAAAACGCATACATAAGCCGGAAACAGCTGCAAATAATGAAATGAAAAACAAACAAACCCTGAAAATAAAAACAAACAAACCCTGCTGCATTCACAGAAATGATGCAAACTAAATACAACACACAAACCCCGAATACAAACGCAACAGAAACACGCTGCAAATAGAAAAACGATATGCAAAGTGAAAAACACATACAAACACACAATGCTCCAGGCCTCTAGGGGGCGCGTTACATGGAACAGATTGATGTCTGACCAGACATAGAGAGAACGAACGAGAGTGATGGAAATTGTAGCCGGAGGAAACAAAGTTGATCGAAAGTCGATATATAAGAAGGTAAGTTTTGTTTTGTTGTTATACAAAGAGCTTCATATTTACGCAGCTGGCGTTAGCGTCCCTACAGTAACTACTACACAAGCTGAGAGCTTCCCCTGTAGAGAAGATAAAGTGAGGGAAGAACATTGTTAACCTCTTCTACACCGCACCCCCGATACCGGGGGGAAAAACGCGTCATCTGCAGGAAACAGCGTCTGAGGGCGTCTTAATATTCAATAAACTATGAATGTTTTATATCCATGCAACGGGGAAGAAACTCGGCTAACTGA